CGGGGCTCACGTGCTGCGCGCAGGGCTTCCCCCCGGGCGGGAAGGCCACCGGGAAGTGCAGGGCGCGGTGCGGCGGCACCATCCTCTTGCGCTTGAGCACAGTGTTCAGCCAGTGCGCCGTCACGCAGCGCTTCCGCTCCCGGAGGGCCTGGGGACGACGGGCGGCCGCTGCGGATTCCCAGGAGGCCAGAGCCCGCGGGACGCACCCCGCCTGGGTGCACCGCGGGGCCAACCGGCCGGGCGCTGCTGAGGATGACCCCGCAGAGGGCGGCCCGGGCGGGGCCCCCCGGCCGGCCTTACTCCCAGTGGACGGGCAGGTCCAGCGGGGGACGGCGGCCTGCAGCTCTGAGGCACCGCCCTGGCAGCCCACCAGGTACCGTGCAGCAGGGAGGGCCTGCCCGGGTGCCCGCATCTCCCCCGCTCAGGGGCACACAGCCTGGCACCCGCAGGGACCCCCAGGGCTGCGGCAGCACCCCACTCCCGTCTTCAGACTCACCTGCGCGTACACGCCGCTGACCTGGCTCTCACACAGCAGGTGCGTGCACCGGCCGGAGAAGGCGGGGTCCACGGCCCCGCCGTGCGCCTGGATGATCTGCACACAGAGGGCTGTCACCCGGAGGCCCGCGGCCCGCCGCAGCCACCCAGCGGCCGGGCGCCCTCCCCCGCCGGGCACAGCACCCGGTGGCCACGGTGCCAGAGGACAGCCGGGGGACTCGGGGCAGAGGAGCGGCCAGTCCCTGCTGGGGCCACCAAGACCTGACCTCCCACCACCACCCTGGTAACACACAGAAAGGCCGCGCTCCCCAGAACCCCAGACTCTCGCAAACGCCCCGCATCCTCCCTCACCGCCGAGGAAACAGGTGAGCCGAGTGGGCGCGGCCCAGGGCCTCGGGTGGGTGCCTGGGTCCACCGGGGCTGCTGGCCACTCACCCGCTTCCAGGCGGCCAGCAGCTGTTTGTCGGACATCTGCTCCGGGTAGTCGGCCACCGCGAACACGCAGCCCAGCAGGAAGCCGCCCTCGGGGACTGGGCAGGAGGGC